CAATAAAGTTATATTTTAATTTATATTTCTCGTGCTTTTTTTGAAGTTTAGTGCAAGCTTGATCATTAAGGACTAGGTTGTAAGAACCTTTAAATGGATAAACCTATTCCTATGGTATAAAGGTCTTGCTTTCAAGTATTTGTTATGAAATATGAAAGATGTTTATCCATACTTTCTACCAAGGTCCTTTTTCTGATTGGAGGTGATTATTAGAGTAGCTTACTTGAATTCCTTGGAAGTTGTGGCATAAACAGTATATGTGGATGAAGACTTCCACTTGGGGTGCAACTTTGATTAAGCCTGATTACCATTGAATCACTCAACTTTGAACTATCATCAAGTGTATTAGAAATTGAATACCCTTATTTCAATGGATTGACCACAAATTCCATTATTAGTGTATTAAGATATAAAGAAAAAGGTTGATTTGAAGTTGAGGGTATAAAATTCTAAATCATTTCTACTCCTATAGTTAAGTGAGTGATTAAAGAATCTCATGTTACAAGTAATTGTTAAAGAGATTGAAGGATTCCAAGTTTTGGAGCTTATTGAGCTCATTAGAAACATTACTTTAAAAGGATAAATTCAAGTTTTTAAAATTTCCAAACTTAGATAATGCCAATTAAATTGTTAGATAAAACATTTATAGAGGTGATAGGAAGAGAATCTACAATTTATATTATTCTTTTCCAATTGAGAAAATGACATAACCCTTTATTTATTGGAAAAACTTATAGCTATCCTCAAAGATGTGCCTCTAGTTGAAGTATACAATGTTGCTAAAAAGATTTACTAGCTTCCAATCTAAGATTAAAAGAAAATCTGCCTAGATCCCTCCTTGAAACAAATAATTTACTATAATTTGTAGTTTTTTTTCTTTTAATATATAGTCAATATATTAGAAAATATCAATATAAACATTTATATATAAATATTGCAAAGGTATTATAAAATATTCATCTTCATGAGATATTATAAACAATTGAAGAAAAAATATGAGAGACGATTCATGAGGGTTCAAATATAGAGGAAAAAAGCCCATAAACAAGAGTACACCCTTTTTTTTCAATTGGTTAAAAGTCAGAAGTGTAGGGAGCTACAATTTTTAACTTCCATTTATGAAAGCGTAAGATTGTATGGAAGTATAATGAATTGTAAACAACTAAAGAAAATAACTTGAAAAATGATCTATAATGGTTCAAATATTAGTTAAACTCAATGACCATTAACCCTAAGTATCTTAAAACTCTTAATTGATTGGAAAAAATTTATTTATAAGCCTTTTCCCTTGGATGACTTATTGGGAAGGTTAAACTTACGAATTTACATTTTGTATCAAATGGGTTTTAGGTTTGATTTTGTTAGTTGGTTAAAAGAATCACACTACATCTTGATATTGATATCTGGTGATCTAGTTTGCAAACTAGATGATTCTTTTACATTCAACAACTTATTTTCAAATTAAATACTACAAAATTATTTTTATACCTCAAAAGAAAATAGAGAGAGAAAAACATCTATATAAAGAAAAATCTTCTCTACAATTATTTCTACTATGAATCTTTAAGACATTGTTGTACTTTCTTTAAACAAAAATATTAAGTTATTACTTAGTTTTAATGAATTTTTTTGTGAATATGGGTAGATTCTTGATGTTGTGGCTAGCACAATCAATTGCTTCAATTGCAGGCAAGATTTTCTATGCTTTTTTCCCTTTTCATAAAGCATGTTGTTCATAATTGAATTTTTTTTCAAACTTAAATAATTAATTATAATCACCTAAAGCAAGTCTTTTGGTAGTAGAGTCCAAAGGATTAACAAGGTTTTTAATTTGTTAAAAATAAGACTTTAATTATAAAGTTTTTCTACCAACTATCATTTATAATTAAACTACAGCTTTAAAAACTCTATTTAATCTTTTATTTCCTCTTCAAATTTAAGTTTAAAACTTCTCACTCAACTAAAATAATTCTTTATAAAACTTCTTTTAATTTTTTTTACAGTTTTCTTTTTTATTGTTGATAAAGTTATTTTTTAGTTTATAGATTTAATGCTCATTGCGCTATAAGTCGCAAAATGTTTCGCTTTGCCGATCCTCCACACCTTGTTTGGATGCTTGTTCGGATGCCTGATTGTGCTGCATGTGAGGACAATAAAAAAGCTAAGTTTACCGGATAGTATATACTATGCTTGTTTCTTTTAATATTTTATTTGCTTCTTGTTCTGGATTCTCTCAATGAAATTCACTCTCATTTGTTACTTATATATATATATATATATATATATATATATATATATATATATATATATATATATATATATATATATATATATATATATGTAAATCTAAAGCCACCACAACTTATAAAAAATTTATAGACTTTTAATAAAATTGATATTTTATAGAGTTACTTATCAAGTTCTTTTGAAATAAATTACTAAAAAGAAAAGTATTGTTATGGTTGACAATATTAATCTTTTATAAAAAGTCTTTTAGTAAAGCAAGAGGCATTATTTCTAACAAGCACACCATTTATTAAATATAATATATTTAATGAATTAACTAAAATATTTATCATAGCACATAATAAAAAAGAATTTTCCTCACAACTTAAGTATTTAGATAATAGAAAAAAGATGAATCTAGCTAACTTCTCATAAATAAAAAAATTATTTTAGTTTGAAAAATATATTTTATAAAAGCATAGTAAATGTTTCAAACTATTATAGTTATGATAATATAGAAATTTGAGGAGTTTTTTGAGATCAATTTATAAAGCATTTTTAAAAATTTTTAGTGATGAAGATAATTTTCTAAAGATACTTAGAATTTAAGTGAAATCTTTTGTAAATAAAAAAATAAAAATGAAACTTTACAAAATAAAACATTAATACCAATATTTAAGCTCTTACATGTTTGTGATAGTATGGTAGATGGAAAGAAGTTGATTCATATGTTTTTATATTTGTAGAGCTTGAGATAGCAAAAAGCATTATAATATCCCATTTAAGTAAGAATTTATTTCTCTCAAAAACAAATTAGGAAGATGTTTATAATAATAATTCAAGTATGCAACTATAAACACAATCTAATATGATAAAAAAATGAATAAAGCTATTCTTTATTAAGCAATAAATAAAGATTAGAAAAATTAAAACTAATATACAAGACAAGTGTTGAAGGTGTAAAAAAAAGAAATTCTTAGAGAGAGATCCAAGAACTTTTTTATTTAAGTAATTGGCCTTTTTATTTTAGTAAGATTTGTTTTATCCACCATAAATTGGGGTGATTTTAATACTATACTCTTTAATAATATTATAAGTGTTATAAATTTAACTTGGCAACATAAAGGAATATATATTTTAAATAATAAGGATGTTGAATATATAGAGTGCTTTTGTGCCACTAGGGCAATGCTTATGAGGTGATCCACTTTGGGTGGAGGTTTTGTCTCAGGATAGGAAATGAAACTTTGTGATATTCTTTTAATCTATTTGAGAACTAGCAACAAAATTCAAGATTTATGAATCTGCAAAGTGCAGAAATTTATTTCAAGTTGGTTAAAAAGTATTAAAAGCATAGAAGTTTTAATCTTAACAATTAAAAGAGAAGAAGCTAAATATTTTCTTAGATCTTCCCCTATTAAATGTAAGGATGATCCTGTGGGCATTTATAGAAAAACATAAAGGTGCTTTGATAATCTTAATAAAAACCTTATGGACGTTATCAACCATGCCAACCAACCACAAAAGCATAGCATTTAAAATTAGTCTTCAGATGCCAATTTCCGTTAAATGCATGGTGAGCAGAAGCTTAAGTGATTATCTTGGTAGTAAACATAACTTCTTTTTTTTCCCCTCAAATCCTAGCACCTCACGCTAAATCAAATGAAATCCAGATCTGGGAGTCTGGCATAAATTGAGACAAAACTACATGCTATGCTCCTTTACCATCTTGCATGTTTGACAATATCCATCTATACCAACCAAAAGAAACATCCTTAAAGCTTTGGTTATGTTTGGGAAGATGTCAAAAGGTTGCTGTTTCCAAGCATGGAGCCACAAATCTTCCAGTACTGGGATTATTTGTGGGATTTGTGGATAGTTTATTACATTACATTACATTAACTCCCATAAATAGCCAATTCCTTGACTGAACTGGGATGGCGTTGTTTATCTCTGCTTACTGCCCATTGGTGAAGTATATAAGAATTTACCGGTGCAGTAACAATTGCTGGTGTCTCATGCATGACCCATTCTATAAAAACGGCAGCTGTGGGGGTTTCTCAATCGTGTTATCGATAGTTTTCTTTCACTTCTTTGTTTGATCTCTAGCAATGGCCACCGCTGCTGCTGGAGCTGCTATCACGGCCACCTGCGACTGTACTGCTGGATGTGCTTGTGGGAATCCATGCCCATGCGGAGATCATTGCAAGTAAGAGATATCTTTGTGTTTCTAGAACTGTTGATCAATCAACAAATCCCTTGATCACAGATGTGTAGCAATGGGTAGAGTTGCTGGACGAACGTAAGTTTCTGTTATGGATCCTTTGCTTTCCAATATATACATTATGCTGGTTTTGCAACTCTTTTGATCATGTGCTAGTGGCCACGACGGAGTTTTCTGCGAATGCGGTGCAAACTGCAATTGTGAGACATGCACCTGTGCCAAGAAAACTGCCTCAGGCGAGCCCTTCTGCAAGTGTGGCCGGACATGCAGTTGTGAGACTTGCTCTTGCCCCAAGCCCGTGCAAGGTTGATGGATCAAGGAAGAAAATTCTTGCAATTCTTAGCTCAATAATGAATTGATTTGCAATTGTTCTGGATCAAGGAAGAAAATTCTTGCAATTTTTAGCTCAATAATGATTTGATTTGCAATTGTTCTGTGTAGACATATTGTGGTTCAAATTCTGGTCAAAATGATGCCAAGCAAATGCTTCCTCCTCTGTATTATATTTAATGGACTGAAATATGAATAATGAAAGTGAAGTATTTTCGTCATGAACCTTCATTTGAGTTGTAATCTTTATCGAGACAAATCGGCGCAGTGGAACTTTGAGTATTAATTTCCTCCTCTTTTTTTCTACATTGGAAAGTAAAGAGACTTCGGTTTTGGAGTTTTGAAGCTGGGGACCGTGGATCGACCTGGGAAAGTTATATCCTCGTCCACTTTGACAGTGCTATCTCGAATGGAAGTCTTTACCTAATTGTTGAGTTGGAGGCGATCCATTCCTCTGTAAACCGGATTTCTCCCCGACAAGTAAGAGATCATACGCCTAAACACACACCAAAAAAGAAAGTTAAAAAAAAAACTATGGAGTATTTTGGAGAGTTTTGGATACCTGTGGGATATGACGAATGTGATGTAATGGAAGCTCTCCTCGCTGGAAGCGATTTTAGTAGAAGGATAGAAAGCTGGAACGACAACGAGCGAGCATTGTTCCAGTTCTTCGTCGAGAACTCTCTCGCCACTGGGATCCACGACCTCGATCCTTCCTCGTCCATGAACGACGTAGAGGATCTGATGGCTACCATGGAACCAATTTGGAGCGACCATGGCTCCCTGGAAAAAACTAGTATTAACTCACAGAAGATGGAGGTCTCTACCTTGTTGAGATGGACACACTCGATACCAAGCCCCAAGGTTCGTAGAATAGGAAGCTTGTAGCTGCTGAGCTCTCGGATCCCGCTCCCCACCGTTTTGGACGCGAACGTCGGGATGGATCTCGCGGAGGCGATAGATGAAGTTTCGATCGAAAGCGCTGGTGGCATCTGGGAAAGTTACGTCCTCGTCCACTTTGACAAAGCCAACACCGCTTTGGCCCTCCAAGACGTCTCGAACGCTGCTCTTGTCCATTTCGCTGGCCCGTGAAAGAACTCCCGAGCTGAAGCCATGGATCACAGCTCCAAAACCAAATCCTCTCCGGCTTTGCTCGTCCGGCTTTCCTCCGGCCACAAGGAATGGCTGCCAAGTAAAAAAAAAAAGGATTTTGATAAGCGTCTCTACAAGAACGATGGAGGAAAAAGAGAGATTTTACCTTTGTGTGACGATTGTCAGCCAGATGTGCGACTCCCATGATTTCCAGCTCATCGTCTCCGCCGTTGTACCACCACAAAGCCACTCCTTGCGGAACTGCGACAACATCTCCTCTCTCGACTTTAAAACAGCTCTCCCGTGTCTTGCGATCATCAAGAGAGATGAAAATCCCAACAAGTCCACCACCTATCGTTTTAGAAGCATAGAACCAACCTTACGAGCACTTAGCGAAGAACAGTTTGAGAACTATAGCTATACCTCAAGTGACAATGTGGAGCAGGGAAGAGTCGAGATAGAATTGAAGCAAGAGACCCCTACGCTTGAGCATCGTCCGGCCAGCCACAACTCCGAGCTCTTCGAAAACTCCGGAGCCTTCCCAGACTTCCAATTTTCCACCGTCGGATTTGAGCGCCACTCGAGCATCCTGCGGCCTCAAATCGCTCCATGATGAGCGCGAGAAAAAATGCGAGAAATCCTCTCAGTGATCTCATATCTTTTGGATGATCGAGAGAGCGAAGGCTTCCTGGCTTTGGCGCTGTGATGGATCCTCGCTCCATGGATTTATAAGCTGGGAGAATTCGTGCATGGAGGTAGCGTGCCTGCAAGGAAAAGTTTTCACAGAAAGAGGGAAATGACACTGCTCCACTGCTCCGCCATGGCAGCTCCTGGGCGATCGTTTGCCCTAATCTCTGGGCGCTAGCCCTAAAAACCGGGGCATACTGTTCTTCTCTCCAAGATGCCCTTCACGGGCATGAGGCAGCGCGGTAGGGTTCTTACTGGACAGCGCACTCGATCTGGAAGCTAGGGTTTCCATGACGCCTTGATCCACGCGCCGCATTCTTCCTGGATCGGCGGCACTCTCAGGTTCGCAAACTTCTCTAGATCTGAGGCGTGCGCGGCCCGTGCAGTGATCGATGACCGCTCGTGCATAGCCAGGATCGATCGATCGACTCGCCCGCCCTAAGATCTCCAGGATGGAGGAGGGAAATCCTCAAGAGATCGCGGTGGCCGGCCCAAGCCGCGATCGCCCGGCGGATTTCTCTGTGCCGCGCAAGAAGCGCGCGATGAAGAGCCAGCCCCGGCAAATGCAGAGCAGCATCGACGTCCTGGCGGAGGTCCTGGCGGAGCGATGCGGCGATCCCGAGGGGGCGGTGTGCGAGTCCGAGGAGATCGAGGAGGACGATGGCTGTGGTGGCGAGGACGAAGAGGGCGGCAGCGAGGACACCAATCCCGACGATAGCACCGCCCGGAGTAGCGGGCTGGACAAGGATCGAGGAGGAGGAGCAAAGAAGCGGGGCATGGAGCCTTACAAGTTCACGCGCTGTAAGCTCAAGAACCGGCACTTCCTCCGCGAGGGACAGGGGCTGGCGATGATCCGGAGCCTTGGGCTCGAGCAGTTCTTGCTCCACACCGAGGTTCCCAGATTCAACAAGAGCTACTGCACGGATTTCATCACGACTTACAGCCACCACAAAGGTGCCGGGGTGGTGAATGGCCGGCTCATCAAGATCACTGCGCAGGCCGTGAGGAAGCTCACGGGTCTCCCTCTTGGAACCCGAGGCGAGCGAGCCATCGTTCACGACGTCCGGGCGGAGGATCTTCCGGTGATGGACAGGCTCATTCCGGGGCTCAAACGGACGAGCTATGGATACGACTTGCGGTATCTGCGATACAAGGACCAAACCGAGACGTTCGTGGCAGTGGCGAGTGCTCTGTCCGAGAAGCTGGTCTGCCGGACTTTCAAGCTGACTTACATCAAGGGGGCGATCATCCTGGCCATGGAGACGTCGCTGCGGCTCAAGGTGCTCATGCAGTGGGCCGACTTCATGGCCGAGACGATCAAGAACGCGATCAAGCTGACGAAGCTGAGGACGAGGAACGTGAGGTTTGCGTTTGGCGAGTGGCTGACGGGGATGATCGAGAACGCTCTCGGGGAGGAGCTGGAAGGGGAGAAGGGAACCGGACTGGTGGAGAACGGGTGCAGCGGCTCCCAGGGTGAGATGAAGTTCCAGGAGAAGGAGGAGCCGATGGAGAACGACGTTGCTTTGCTACTCATGGCGGCAGCTCCAGCTTTAGCCCCAGCTCCAGAGAGTGTGCTTGCGATCGAAGCTCCACAGCAGCAGCAGGAAACGCTGCCGCTCGTCGCTCTAACGCCTCACAAGATCAAGAAGCGCGTGAGAACAGCGATGCCAACCACGACGGCGTGCGGCAGCGACTCTACGAGCGAGGAAGTGAAGCGTCTCCAGCAGCAGCTAGCCGACGCCGAGAGACGGGAGCGATGGTACGTGACGATGAATCTCAGCATGGCCCGCGAGCTGGAGAGGCTGAGGCTGGAGCTGGAGTCGGTCAAAGGCGGGCAGAGCGCGGCGCTGGCCGTGAAAGACGCGGCGGAGCCGAGGGAGCCAGCGGAGGAAAGCAAGGAAATGCCACTGGCTCTCAGGAGCTCCACGCCGAGGAACGGAGAGGAGGCACAGATCGACAGGGTCATCGAGAGCCTGGAGAAGAAGAGCGCTGTCCACGAGCAGGAGGTATCACGGCTCAAGCAGGAGCTGGAGGAGCAAAGAAAACTCATCGAGCTGGTCAAGAGGAGCCGGGGGATTCCACTGGAGGCGATCGATCGACGCGAGCAAAAGCGATTGCGTCGCGAGTTGGAGAAGGACAAAGCCAAGACGAATCCATCCTAGTGTAAAAAGTAAGTTCTTTCCTTCCTTTGCATTGACACCATCTTTGCCTTTACCACTCGACACCATCTTCGTTTTTCCCATTGACACCATCTTTGTTCTTCCAGATTAGCATTCGTGGATCGACTAACTTGCGGTGGAAAAAGAAGAAAGAAGAAAGCAAGTTGTGATAGCGAGACAAAAGGTACGCTGTGTTTGGTCCCATTTGGTGTGGTCATATTAATACAGTGGTTGGAATTTTACAGATCAGGCAGCCAAGATCTCTACTCTCTTTCTCTTCCTTGACGGCGAGCAATCGAATCTAAATCTGATACTGGTGGTGGTGGTGGTGGCGGTGGAACACCGCGCCTTGGAATGACGCAGGCATTGAGCTGTGAAGGCTGTCGTCACACTTGAGCCGCACGGAAAGCTCCTCCTCGTGATCGCTGCCCGTGTGATGCTGCTCGTCGTCGTCACCGCCACCAAATTCTGGATGGTGGTGATGGTGATCCTCCTCCTCCACACGCAAGCCCGGCCGGATCCCGGCGGCGGCGGCGCCGCTGCCACCGACGAATCCCGCCGCCTGGCCTTTCTCGTGAGCCGCTTGCTGGAGTGCCTGGAGCTGCTTGAGAGTGGCGAGCGTGTCCACGTTGTACGGCGGGGCGCCGCCACCGCTGCTGCCGCTACTCCTGGTACGGAGGAGAGGTAGAGTGGAGGAGGACCTTTGGTGGTGGTGGATTTGCATGGTGCCGCCAAAGGTGGCACCCTCGTAGGCCTGGAACGAAGCAATCGGGAATGGCTCGGGCGTGACGCCGCTCAATCGCTTGAGGTAGAGACGATACTTCTGCACAGGGAAGAAGATAGAGCGTTGGAAAAGAGAGAAAGAACAAAATGGTAATGCGATTACCTGGAGGTGACTGGCGACGTTCTCTCTCGTGAGCCCCTGGATATTCATCACCTCGAGAATCCTCTTTGGCACGGCCTCTATGACAAGAAACTTAGAATGTGAGCTCTCGAGATCGAAGAAAACAAGAAGTAACTTACTTTCGATTCCTATGTGGTTGATGGCCTTGACGAACTGCTGGTGGAGATCGAATGACCACACCACCCTCGCCTTCTTGTTGCTGGCGATGCTCCTCATGCTCTCGTCGCCGCCACCGCCGCCAAAGTCGCAGCTCGGACGCTTCTTCTTTCGCAGGAGGCGGAGGTCAACGTCGGCCTCCTCGGAGGAATCCGTGGGGGTTGACCTCATGAAGTCCTCCCACTCCTCGGGAGCTTCGTCTCGGACAGCCGAGTCCTTGGTACGCCGCCGGACGACATGCTGCCAGATGTTCCGTAGCTCCTCGATCCTCACGGGCTTCACCAGGTAATCGCAGGCTCCATACACGACGCCCTTCATCACCGCGTCCGTCTCGCCGCTGGCGGACATCACTGTTGCAAGGAAACAAAAGAGTGTGAGTGTGAGCGTCACCATTAGAATCTTTGTTGCTTTCTTCTCTCTTCTGTTTTGTTTCTACGGGTTTGCCGTAGCTGTCCCCGGTTTGTTTCGTCCTGGGCGAAAGCATTAAAGAGGGAGAGAAGACTTACTGATAACGGGGATCCCCATCTCCAAGCCAATGAGCTCCAGCAGCTTGAAACCGTCCATGTCAGGCATATGAACGTCGCTGATCACTACGTCGAATGATTCTTTCCTCTCCCGGAGGATTGTCAAGGCTGCTGTCGCACGGCTGCAAGTTGTAACTGCGAGAGAAACCACACTCCAAGTCAGAAAGAAAGAACCACGAGACAACAGGCAAGAGGTACATCCCAGCGGACTTTTACTTGGAAAAAGATAAACTCCAAGACAGAGTATCTAGCAGCAGCCAAAACAATTTGAGAGTCAAGCAGCACACAGGAAAAAAAGCTTTTAAGAGTCAAGCAGCAAAGTGTTTCAAGAAGAACAAGCAATGACTTTCGAGTGGATTGAAAAGAATTGGAGTGAAAGCTTACCAGCATACTTGCATTCTCGCAGCATTCGCTCTAGCAGAGTGAGGCAGCAAGGATCATCGTCCACGACCAACACCTTGAGACCTGTGGGCGAGAAGTGATCCATTTAGCGCATAAAAGTTATCCTGCGAAAAGAATAAAAAATCTGGATGAAACAGTGCTTGGCAAAGGAAGGATGGAGCTCGAGCTCCACAGAAGAAGAAGGAGGAGAAGAAGAAAGTCTCTGACACACAAGAACGATCGAGCTCCAAACGAAAGAAAGAAATCTCAAGGCGCAAGGATTGAAGAGAAGAAAGAAGAAGAAACATGATCGAAATATCGCCGGGCGAGGGCTAGGGATTGCGATCGAGCTCATCCCCGATCGAAATATCGCCCCGCGAGGCTCCGGAGCATCGAGAGGAGGGATTAGAGAGCGAAGAACACAAGTACCTGGCCTGGCCGCTGGAGAAACGATGCCAAGATCCTCCCGCCGACACAAATTTACGCGATCGCGAGAGGCGCGAGATCAGATATTCTCATGGAAAGTTCACACGCGCCGTGACGCCCCACTCGCGGCCTGCATTCGCCATTTGCCTGCCCGGCGCCCGCGCAGCGCGCTCGATCCGATTATCCCACTTGACGCGGAAGAACAAAAGGGAAAAAAAAATTAAACGCAAAGTCCAGTTGTCCATTTTTGTCGAATCGGCCATGGCCCATGTACGGAGACTTCCATACTGCCACGTGGCAGATTGCTACTGGCTCGCAGCAAGAACGTTTGAACATGCCAATTGTCAAATTGTGTGCGCCCGTGTGTCTTGGTACATCTTCTCTCTCGCTCTTCGTTGGGTGACCTAAAAATTGTATGGGCACGCGCGCAAACCAGGCTTTACCTTATCAAATTCGAGTGGAACACGCAACGCAGCAACACCGCCTCAATTTCAAAGAGATTAAACATGTAACAACACACGAGAAAGACTTTGGGCGATTGAATGCTCCAACTTGCAATGCCAGAGAGACGCGATGGAAGAAAAAAAAGAAAAAAAAAGAAAAAAAGAAAGAAAAAGAGAGGAAAGAAAAGATAATCGAAAAGACCCTTCCGGTTAGTTTGCTGGATTTCCACTGCTACACTGTTGGTGGTGGTGGAACCCTCTCTTTCCTCTTTTTCTTTCCTCCGCCACCTTTTTTCGCTACCCTAAGATCATTGTCAACTAACCAGATAGATTTGCTCCCTGACGTGACATGGAGTGTTCCAAGCCACACAATGCGGGGCGCAACTTGGATGCCCAAGCAAAAAGCCTGAAAAGATCTTTGGCTCGCCAACTTTGTTTGATGGCTATTCGCGCACTAGATTTGTTTGACAATCGCTCAATCGAATATCCTCTTACCAAATGAAAAGCTATGCTTTTTATTTTACTGTGCCAAAGGAACCCATTCTAGCTCGAGCTGGACCTCGCCGCTCTCGACGTTCTGGAGCTTTACAGCCAAATCCTGCTTTATTTGACCCCCGACTAATCTAATCACGCTGTCACTTACAAGCGCGTTCTCGGCCGTGGCCAGGCATCTCCCTATTTGGACTTCTCCCGGATCAACGATTTGGTCTTCCATCGCTTCCTCTAAAACGCTCGCCGCCGCTACGATCGGCTGTAAATCCACCTCCACTTCTCCCATAATATCGTCCGCCGAGAACTTGTCATAGTCGAAAACTTGCTGTGACACAAAAAGCGAAGAGAAGATCAATCCTGTCACAAAAGGTTTAAAGAAACTTACGAGCTTGAGTGGAACAGGAGGCCCGCTTGGAACCGATAACATGATCTCTTCGTCCCAGACTGGATTTAAGTTGCTGTTCACAACCTTGGTTTTAGCCGTCTATCGGAAACAAGAGTTTTATGAGAGCAAAGAACGAAGGAGAGTAGTACCTGATGGCCCAAGTTCAGTACCACGTAAGGATCACTCGTGAGAATGTCTCTTACGGCCAAGTTCGTCCCTTTGACAACTCGCACTTTGAGCAAACCGAGGAACTCAACCATGGCAGCCTGAAATAAAAACGCAAGCTTAGTCGTGAGGAAACTTGGCAAGGCTCAATCAAAGCGCACAGACTGATTTAGATGGAGAGTTTTTGGATGTCTTCTTTCGGGACAGGAGATGCCGCATGGAAGATCGACGAGAGGTTGAGGAAGGACGCTCTTCCTCTTGTCTAAACGACTGCCTGTAATGGGAAGAATGGTTTGTGGAATTCAAGCGGAGTGTGGGCTTCACAAAGTCTTGGTACTCGTATTTTCTCCTGAGAAAGAATGGAAAGAAGTGTGAGATAGTCTAAGGAAGAATGCAATAGTCTTACACTATCCATTCCCTTCGCTCCTCCATAGTCGAATCTGGACATGGCTTCCGGCTTCCAGCGGGCAAATGGGCCTCGTAGATTGCATTCGCTGCCGCATTTCCTCCAACTTCAGCCATCACAGAGACCTGTTCGTCTGTCCATTCATCCAACGAGGTCGACATCACCTATTAGAACAAAGAAAAGGGAAGAAAGCAAAGAAAGTTGGAGAGAATCACTGTCAAAAGAGAGGAAATAAGAGAGGACAGTACCTTAGAAATATGAACGCCAAGGCTGCGATGGATCCCAGAGCATTGTATGCACACGAAAACCCCCAAATTCGCAGATCTGCTCGATTTCAGTGCTCAGAGATGACGGCGCTAGCTCAGAAATTCAGCACTTACGCCCATTTCGGATCGGCAGCTCCACAGTCGGCGCACACGCGATTGTCCCGCTGCGCCAAAAGCCTCTTTAGCCCCTGCATTTGATGCTCAAGAACCCTAAAACCCCGACAAAAAAGTTTTAAGAACCCTAAAGTATGCCGGTATATTCTGTTTTTAAAAAAGAATCCGTTGACCATCTAAAGTAGCGCGTTTGATAGCAGCACATAGCCCGCGGCGTTTTGGGGCTCGATTTCCAGGATTTGCTTGGCGGCATCGATCCCGCGGCGTGGATCGCGCTGGAATCTATAGCAGGATAATAAAGATTCCCACGCCGCGGCGGTGGCGGCGGTGGGCATTCGTTGGATCATTTCCATCGCGGCTTTGAGCTGCCCTAATCGCCCCAGCGCCGAGACGATGCACGAATAGTGGTCTTGGGTTGGGACGATGCCATAGTCGATTTCCATGGAGGCCAAATAGGCGTAAATTTCGGCCACCTGGCCCAAATGCGCGCACGCCACGAACACGCCCAGAAAAGTTACGTCGTTGGGGTGTACGGCATCCATGGCCATGGTCTGGAAGCTCTCAATGGCTGTAAGGCCGTACCCTAAATGGGCATACACTGTGACTAGCGCCGTACAAGAGACCACGTCTCTCTCTGGCATTGTGTCAAAGAGTTTTTTGGAAATGGGTATATGCCCGGCTTGGGCATATGCTGATACCATTCGATTCCAGGAGACTAGATCTCGCTCTGGGAATCTTTCGAAAAGAGCTTTCGCGAGAACAAATTCAAAGTTGCCTAGAAAACCACACAAAAGAGCTGTGAAGGTTATTATGCTTTGGACGGGCATCTTAACAAAGATTCTTCTTGCGGCATCTAAATGCCCATGTTGGGTATATGCGATGATCATGGTAGTCCATGAAATAACGTCCCACTCGGGCATTTGGTCAAATATTCGTTTCGATTCCTCCAAATTTCCGGACTTCGAGCTTGCCACAAGCATTGCATTCAAAGTTGCGAGATTTTTCTCTCGCGATGCTTTAAACACCATAGCCGCATTTTCCAAATCACCATGGTCAGCATAAGCTTGAATCATGGTGTTCCAAGAGATTAAATTCCTCTCCGGCATTCTATCAAAAAATTCACGTGCCACCTTTGTATCACTCGCGCTCGCTTGAACGATCGCGTTCCAAGCGACCAAATCGTGGCCAGACATCGCTCTAAAGATTCCTCTAGCCTCTTCCATTCGTCCGTGCTGTCCGTACCCGTTAATCACGACCGTCCACGAGACCACATTGAGCGAAACCAACGGCCGATCCAGCATCTCTCTCGCGAGGTCCATTTGCCCTGCTAGGGCATATGCTGTGATGAGAGAGTTCCATCCTACTGGATCTTTCTCGGGCGATCGATCGAGCAAAAGCTTTGCTCGATCGAAGCTCCCGTGCTGCGCGTAGCCTTGGATCAAGGTATTGATCGTCACTGCGTTGTGCTCTGGCATTCGATCGAAGAGATCCTGCGCCCCTTCCAGATGCCCATGAAGAACAAACGCTTGGAGCATCGCGTTCCAGGCGATGAGATCCTTCTCTACAATCCCTAGGAACAAGCTCCAGGCCTTGCGGAGATGCCCCAATCTGGCAATCGCGACGATCGCGCTTGTGATGAGCACGGTGTCGAGAAGTGGGATCCGGCGCAGCAGCTCCATGGCCGGATCCACGAGATCTCTCGCGAGGAAGGCCTCGATCATAGCAGCCCACGAGAAGAAATCCCGGTCGGGCATGCGATCGAAGAGATCCTTGGCTTCGGTCACTCGCCCAGCGCGGGAATAGGCCTCGATCATGGAATTCCACGACACGGTGTTGCGCTCCTCCATCCTGGCGAAGAGATCGATCGCGTCGCCCAGCTCCCCAGCGTCAGCGAGCGCCCGGAGCATCGAATTCCACGACTGAATCGTTCGGATTGTCGCGGGCATCCGCTGGAATGCCGCTCGCGCGAGATCCAGGCGCCCGTGCTGCGCGTAAGCGGCGATCATCGTGTTCCACGAGAACACGTTGGGGCGATCCAGCGCCGCGAATGCGCGGGTCGCGCGATCCAAGCTCCCGCATCTGGCGAATGCGCGGATCACCAGATTGGCGAGGAAGATGTTCCGGGAGTGCCCGCTGCTGTGGATCTCATCCTGGATCTCGCTGACCCTGGCGAGATCCCGGGATTTCTCGCAGGATCGCAGGAGGGTGGCATAGAACTGGACGTCTTCCATGGCTGGATAGATAGATAAGAACTTCTTGGAAGAACTTCTTAGATCTTCCATTGGATCTTCCATTACTTGCGACTTCCAGCATTGAGCCAAGCATCAATGGAGCTGGCGCGTCCAGAGAAGAACTCGTGAGACAACGCCTGGGACGCCGACAGCCGCGAGGCTGGATCGTAGACCAAGAGCTTCTCGATCAAGCGCAGCGCCTCTCCGGACGCTCGCGGCAAAATCCTGGCCAGAGTCACTGGCGGGCGATCGTCGTTGAAGCAAATCTTGTCATAGTCGGGGAGGCTGGAGATCCCGGGCCAGATCGTCTCGTTTGGAACACCGAGAACTCTCACCACCCTGCTCAGCTGATCTATGTCGGAGGCTCCCGGGAAGAGTGGCTCGCCTTGGATCAATTCGCCGAGGATGCAACCCACGGCCCAGAGATCCACCGCGAAGTTGTAGCTCGTCGAACCGTAGAGGAGCTCCGGAGCTTTGTACCACCTCGTCCCCACGCAGTCGGTCATCTCTCCGCGGAAGTCATCGTTTCCGACCTGTGAAGAACACCACCACATCTTAGAACTCTGAGAAAGAGAGAACTTAGAACTGAGAGAGAGAACCGAGAATTTAGAACCGTAAAACCGAGAGAGAGAGAGAGAGAACTTAGAACTGAGAGAGAGAACCGAGAATTTAGAACCGTAAAACCGAGAGAGAGAGAGAGAGAGAGAGAGAACTTAGAACAGAGAGTGAGCGAGAGAGAGAACTTAGAACTTCGAAGAGAGAGAGAGAGAGAGTCTCTACCTTGTACCAATCGGAATCCTTGTTGGAAGTTTTCTCCCACTCGCCATCGCTGTAGCGATCGTTCCTGCTTCGAGCACCATCTTCTTCTTCCTCTGCATCGCTCACTCGAGGACTAACTTCGGTGCCGGAGTCTTCGATTTCCAGACGATCGTAGCTCTTGCTGCCTCGAATCTGTGCTGGAACCATCGTCTCCGGCTGCTGCTCTGACGATGTCGCGGCCGACTTGAGCTTGAAGCTCCCGCCCTGGAGCCATGCCTCGATCTCCTCACTGTCGAGTTTCTTGCCGCTGCCAAATCGATCGAACTCCTCTCCTCCCTTGAGCTTCTTCTTGCCGCTGGAAGAATCCTTCACCGCTTCCTCGACGTTCTCCACTGGCAGGACGAGCGCCGTGCCAAAGTCCGCCACCTTGAGCACGCCATCGCTGGAGATGAGAAGATTGGATGGCTTGAGATCCCTGTGCAAGATCCCAGCACTGTGGCACTCGGCCACTGCCTTGAGGATTTGCTCCATCCAGTTCCTGGCCTCGAATTCCTGGAAAGGGATCTCCTTGCGCTCCTCTATCACCTCCGCGAGAGAGCCCGGAAGAAATTCCAGCACCAGCAATACCCCGGGATGGAGCCAGACGTGATCCAAGAGCTGGACGACATGGCTGGAGTTTGTGAGGAGCTGGAGAGCGGCCAATTCGCGCGAGGAGCTCTTGCCGTCGTGGACTTCCTTGAGCGCGACGTGGAGGCCGTCGTCACGGCGCTTCCCGTGGTAGACATCCGAGTAGGCGCCGGATCCAATGGGATCCAGCACCGCGTACCTGGCCAAGACCTCGCGATTCTCGTAGATGCTCCAGCTCGCGAATTTGGCCGCGGCAGCGCCCTCCTCTTCCTCCTCACTCTCCATGAATCGATCGCTCCCTGGCGTCAGCCCTAATGTAGGTTCTAGGGCTTTAAACAAGAACAAAAGAATATACTTTAATATTCATGTTGGAAGTTATAATTTATATAATTATTTAAATATTAGAATAAACTAAAATATACTAAAAGTGTTTAGGAAATTTTATAAATTATAAACATATTTATAATTAGCAATATAAAGATCTGATAGAATATTTTAAAATATTCAAGCATAGTTTAGGTATATTCACTAGTTTTTGCTTTTATATGTATATAAATGGATTGAATTTGAGCTTATTGAGGTCTCCCTGGTTCAACTTCCACTTAGTCAGAGACAGGAGAAGTCTAAGTGGAAGACTTCTCGGGATTGTCTTCCTGAGAATCAGGAAGTTGAACCTTCTCGGGATGCCAGCAAATCCACGGACCTGGAAGAAACAAAAGAGTAGAAGAAACACAAGCTTTTGTGTGATCCTTTAAAGAGTCAGAATTTTAAAAGGAGTAAACGTCTTCCTCTAAATCAGTCTGTTTTTCAGTTTACACCATCTTTGCAAGTTCCTTAACTCCAAAGCTAATGCGAATGCTCCTTAACTCTCAGATTTCAAGGGTGGTGTATGAGTTAAGATATCCCGAAATTAGTTATTCTCTTTTATCATTTCCAGTAAGAAAGTTTTTGAGCTTCTGTGTTCTCTACGCAATTATGGGAAGTATCAGTTTTTGTTTGGAAAAACGACAACTACACAAGTACAATCAAACCAAAATTTAGATGTTCACTGAAACAGATGCTGGGAACCCCTGACCAACTTCTAAACCTCTTACTTAGTTTACCTTAGCACCTCTCGAAAATTTTGTACAGATTTTCTAGACACGCGACCTGGCAGGGACGAACGCGCTTGAGCATCAGAATGGCGATGAGAATGGCGTACCTGGAGTGCAGTACCGTCAGTCGCCATCCTTACCGGTGGTTTTAGCAACAGCTTCATGGCTGGAAAGAGTACATGCTGAATCGTCCAGTCTCTCTGGGACCATTTGCTTTCTGCTTCCAAACCGACATCTTCGTCCATTTCGGTTTCATTACTTTCTGCGCAAACAGCTGTGACAAAGGATAACAGTTTTCATAGCTCTTACCCGGAGGATTGGTTGAAGGTCTCGGTAACAAGGGAGGGTGAAGAGCGTAAAACTCCGAAAGCGCCCTTGCTACCGCTTCAAAGCACTCGTCCTCTACATCACAATCGACCTGCCAAAGTTTTGTTTCTTAAAAGTGCATACGGTTCGCCTGTATCACATACGCTTTTCGAAAGATGCAGGGCGAAAAGAGGGAGCCTGTCCATGTCCGGCGTATGCTGCTCCACGATCAAGGGAAGTGTGCAAACGTTCCCATTATCGTCAATGTCAATCGAGAAACACTCTCGCAAAAACTCAGCACGCTTTAAAATCTGGTTACAGTAAACCTGCACAACACACGTCAGTAGGACATTAAGTTACAGATATTTCAACTCACCTGAGCTATTCCATCCTTAGATCCATCTGTAGCATGATAGTTCCCACACTGTTCCTCCTCGTCCAAAGCCATGACTATTAAGTCATACACTGGCGCAGGATTGCTGAGCCGGAGTGCATTTAGACGTCTAAGCCGGACGAGTGCCTGTTGGTACATCAACTCTTTGCTGAAAGCATGAATTTTGTTTGTCAGCATTCGTCCCTTTAAAAAAAAATATATTACCTCAGAGTCAAGCAGTTCATAAGATAAAGCCTCGTCTTATGTTGGATCAACGCCAAGACATCGTCCGCCATTCCAATAAACGTAGAGTGCCTTATGATTTCGAGCAGGCCTGTCAATATCAAATGAAAACCAGCAAATGTGGTATTCCCTGTGTACCTGAATGTGTCTCTGTATCGACAGCGGCAAGCATACGTTCGACTGCAGACGAGCCAGAAGATGAGCCAGAAGTATCGTTGGAGTGCCGTCGTTGCCTTACAATTCGCCTGTTTCATCTCTAGTTGTCTATCAAAAGATCATAGGACACGGAAGCCTTACCGCATGGCTGTTAAATCATTTTTAAGCTCCGCTCCACTGGCAAGGAAAGCATGCATTCGTCCGGCGGGGCTTTGCGAGTCCGTCCTCACAAGCTTATTAACAGGTGCCTTTTGAGAGCTTTTATCTGATAATTGTAAGAAAAGAGAAAGAAAGAAAAGATCGAGAACGTACTCTCTGCTTGACTCCTAGGCTGTCCTTGTGGCAGAAATGCCGCTTCAAGCGAAGTCTGGACAACAATACAACTCTAGTCACTTGCTTGTAAACAAGAGTCGTACCTGAGCATAAAACGTCCGAGACTTGTTAGACTGCAAAAGTTCTTGTTCGACTGCTGTTTGGATTGCTTCTATAAGCGACTCTTGATTTAAAAAGCTCACCTGTTCAAATAAAAGATAATCAGTAGCTTCTTAGCGAGAACAAACTTCTTAAACCTCTTTCTTTGTTGGATGAACATTGACATCAACATGCTCCGAAGGAAGGCGAATAGACATGTAAATGTACGGTTTTGATGCCTTTGGTAGAACAGCCGCATACACAACCTCGATTGCCCTCTTCAGTGGAGCACAGTCCACCAAACGATCTGAAATGGAGCAGCTAACAAAGTCAAAAACTTTATATTCAATCAAGTCCATACCGTTTATAAACAGAATCATGGTTGTTCTCTTGGCACTGTAGTTTGCACTCGAAATGTAACCGTTCATCTCAAAAGAGTCCGAGGAATCGTTCTTGGAGGTTTTGATTTCGATAAGTTCTCGAGAGGTCCCAGGTCCATAGACTGCTCGAATTGCTTCCAACGCCGACGTGTTGCCAGGAGTTTGCACGTCTGCTCGTGCATCACCAAACTATGACAAACATGTGAATCGTTCGTCCCAAAAAAACGACACTGAAACGAACCTTCTTACACGAAAATCCGACTTTCGGATTTTGGATCGAGTATTTGCTGATCACGTCAACAACGCGAGCATACTCGTCACTTGGATTCTTGAAAGACTTTCTTCTAGCTGTGACATTGTAAAAGAGATTTTCCACCTGCAAAACACACAAAGTTGGAACAAGAAAAAAATAAAGAAAGAAAAAACCCTTAGCAAAGCATACGAACCATTATTTGGGTTCCTTTCACAGCAGCGCAAGGCCGAGGATCGCCTTCCATCGCTCCGTCCTTATACGAGGCTCTGAAATCCAAAAATCGAGAAACGTGAGCTTAAAGCTGCGTAAAGTTCACCTGTATCCATGAGTTTGGCCTTCAGTCATTGTAGTAACAGTGAGATGAGCTACGAAAGTCATACTCGCCAGAGCCTCCCCTCGGAAGCCCAGTGTGCTAACCCTTTGCAAATCCTCAAAGGCAGTGATTTTGGAGGTGGTGTGTCTCTCGCAGAGTATAGGAAGGTCTTCATACTGCAAGGAAACAGAAGAGGAAAATTCAATCGCAAACTTCGCTAAAACATCTCACATCTAGTCCAAATCGTCACAGCATTTCTTCAAGACTATGCTATACAAATCTCAAGCTACATTTTCTACCAGAAGGAAACTCTCGAAAATCTCTGGAATATCAAACAAACAACATACCCGGATCCCATGCCCATTGTCCGTGATCTGGATGAGCTTCAATCCCCCATCCTTGACGATGACCGAGACGACAGTGGCGCCGGCGTCCAGGCTATTCTCCAGGAGCTCCTTGAGAGCCGAGGCAGGGCGCTGGATCACCTCGCCCGCCGCGATCCGGTTGACGACGCTCTCCTCGAGCTTGCGGATTCTTGGCGGCAATGCCATATCCATCCCTTAAGCCCTAGAAACATCACGGGGTTTGGCGCCAATCATAAGAACCCTAATAGAAACGCTCATTAGATTGAATCCATTGGTAAAAGGCAATTAAAACAAACAAAACTATAGCTATTCATAGTAGTGATAATTGAAAGGGAATGCATACAATGTTAAGATTGTAAATTTTTAATAAAAATTATAAATTTTAATTTATCTTTGTGAAATTTTATTTAAACTTTTATTTTATGTATGAAAGACATATTACAGATAATTTATATCATTTTATTATTTTGTTTTGTGAGTGCCTGGAATATGGAAAGGGAATACAGAAATAATTAACCCAAAAACCCTAGCTTATATACAAGAGCGAGTGGTCCGGATTGAAACCAATCCGACGGCTACCAAAATCCACTACGCTAATATTAGTATACGGCATCGTAGCCGTACACTTGGCCCTCACATCATCCCCTCCTCTCGGAATAGTGGAAGGCCGTCAGGGTTCTCTTGTAGATGGGCCGGGATCTGGAGGAATGTCAAGTGGAGGCATCGGCGGATTTGTAGACGGTATTAACTGCTCCTGATCCCTTTGTATGAAGCGTTTTAACCGCTGCACATGCACAATCTCCGGAGGATCGGCCTGCTGAACGTCATGCCGAACCTCATAAACTTGCGGTCCAACTTGCCGCAACACCCGATACGGTCCTTTCCACTGCGCAAGGAGCCCCTTAGATAAACCACGTACCGTAAGATGGGGAAAACGGACTAACACCAAATCATCCACTTTGTACTCCGCAGGTGGACAATGATGGGAGTTGTAGCGCCATTGTTGTCCCACTTGTATGCGGTCTAAGTGTTCGGCAGACTCTGCTCGGACAAGTGGAAGAATGCTTATCAAATATTGATCCCATGACCTAGCATCAGGAGCTCGTGGCAATTGCGAAGGTAAACCCAGCTCTGTTGGTAATATTGGATCATGACCATATAGAAATTTATATGGTGAAGCACCAACAGAACTCTGCACCCCTGTGACATAGGCATACCGAAGAGATGGCAAATAACCATCCTAATCCGAATGCTGAAAGTTCACATACTTCGCAATCATCCCTTTGAATGTCCGAACGAGCCGTTCCACTAGACCATCTGATTGTAGATGATAAGCACTCGTAAAAGTGTGGCGTATCCCCAACCAAAATGTCAAAACATGAAATACCTCAGCCATAAATGCAGGACCATTATCCGAAAGAATCCGCTCTGGACAAGAATGCTGGAACACCACTCGATTGAGGAGGAAGTATCCAACAGCAGTTGCAAAGGCACTAGCAAGAGCACCAACTTCCACCCAACGAGTCAAGTAGTCAGAAGCAATAATAACATACTCATTGCCAGTAGTCGATCGTGGAAAAGGTCCCATAAGATCAAACGCCACCAACTCAAACGGACGGGAAACTGCAATTGACTCCAACCGTCCTTCCGCAGCACAAGGGGGAGTATTACGAGCTTGGCACCAAACGCAGCTACGCACATACCGGATAATATCACGTCGCATCTCCGGCCAATAAAAAGACCTGCGCAGCTTCTCGGTGACACGACGGTGTCCCATATGCCCACCTAGAACAGGAGAATCATGGTAGGCATGGAGAAACCGCGGAATAAACACCGAAGGCACCACCAACCGTAAATGATCATCAGGATCCGTCCCCACAAAATAAAGAAGGCCATCTTCAAGGCGATATTGAGAATGTAAATGCCAGAAAGGCAAGTCATCAGCAAGTGATACAGGATTCTCAAACCCATCTCGAAGCCTTCGAATCCATGGCTCAATTTTTTGAGCCTCGCGAACCTCATCAAGAGAAGGTAGATCTTGCTCTACGCCCTGTGGACATTGAACGTCAAGGACAGCAACTGCCGACAGCACAGAATCCTCATCTAGAAAATCCACAGACGCTGGAACAACAGGTTCGTCAGAAATATGAGAAGTGAGTGGAAAAGGAAGAGGAGCTCGAGAAAGGGCATCAGCATCAACCATAGAACTCCCTGGGCGATGAACAACATCGAAATCATATATTTGAAGCTTCAAAGCCCATCGAGCCGTACGACCAACCAGGTTCTTCCGCTTCAATAATGAAGTAACAGCAGCATGGTCACTTTCAAGTAACGTCCGAGAACCATGTAGATATGCATGAAGTTTCTCGAAACCCCAGACTGCTGCTAAACACTCCTTCTCTATCGTGGAGTAGTTCATCTCCGCTGGTTGTAATGTATGGCTTATGTATGCAATGGGATGGCGCTGACCAGGCACACTCGAGCTCTCTTGCATCAACACACCTCCAAGACCAATGTCAGAAGCATCCACGCGCAAAATAAAAGGTCGAGTGTAGTCAGGATATGCCAAAACCGGAGGAGTCGTCAATAGCTCTTTGAGATCCACGAACGCCCGCTCACAATCTGGAGACCAGATGAAAGATGACGTTAATGACTTCAGCAACGCTCGCAATGGTGTAGTGCGATCGGAAAGATGATCCACAAAACGACCGAGATACTGCACCTTACCCAAAAAGCGTTGCACATCATTCACACATTTCGGAGTAGGGAACTTTAGAACAGCCACAATGTCAGGATCAACTTGCAAACCCTTACGAGAAATACGGTACCCAAGATAAGTTGTGTCCTTGGACCCAAACACGCACTTTGACCGCTTCAGCTTTAAACCAACATCACGTAGCCGATCCAACACTTTACAAACATCACGAACGTGCTCCTCCCACGTCCCCTCCGAGTGGATCAAGACATCATCAATGAAGTCAGCAGTCACTTCCGGCATATCGCAAAGAACCTCGTCCATCATCCGTTGGAAAGTTGCGGGAGCATTGTTCAAACCAAACGGCATCACCAAGAACTCGTACAAACCAAATGGTGTACGAAAAGCAGTCTTAGGAATATCTTCTTCGGCCATCGGTACTTGCCAATACCCAGAAGCAAGATCTAGCTTGGTGAACCAACGACTTCGCCCCAGACGATCTAAGAGATCAGCAGTGTGAGGAAGAGGATACACATCTGGGATCGTCACTTCGTTTAACGGACGATAGTCGATGTAGAAACGAATACTCCCATCAGGCTTCGTCACAAAATGAGGTTCACATGCCCAAGGACTCCGCGACTTCCGAATAACACCCTTCTCCAGCATTTCCTTGACGTTGGCTCGTAAAATCTTAATCTCCTTAGGTGACCGACGACGAACAGGAACCTTGATTGGACGAGCATCCCTGGTTGGAATCGGATGACGTGTGGCAATCTTGGCCCCAGACGATAGGTCAAATTCAAAGAGATCAGAATACTCCTTCATGAGCCGGTCAACTGCTGCAACACAAAGATCGTCGGAGGGATCGGAAAAGGGAAAAGCAGAACAAGATGGAAACACAGAAGGAAAGAGTGGGGGAACAAAAGTAATGGAAGCAGAGGTAGAAGTAGAGGGACAAAGAGGTATGGAAGTGAGAGGAATGGATGAAACATAAGGAAGTATGAGACAAAGGGGAGAAGCCTCAAAGTCACACTTGGCATGATTGCGCTGCAACCAATCCATACCAAGAATGAGGTCAAAAGCTTGACTCGGCACCACCCGCAACGACTGCAACTCAAGCTCGAGATCGCCCACACGCACAACCAGGTCCACCTTATCCCGTGCACATGCATGTGTACGGCCGTTGCCATAAAGAATGAAAACTGGTTCCGCCGCACGACGCAAGTGTAGACGACAACGTGTGGTAACAGGTCGAGCAATAGAAGATAAACTCGAACCTGTATCAACCAACACGGAGAGAATAATAGGAGACCTCTTGTTATAAAAACGAGCTTGGAAAGTAAACACGGGATGAACCGGTGCCGAGTGAACCCCTTGATGATACTCCCGAAAGAAAGATGGAGGGGTCACTGATTTATTCGCGCAAGGTCCCTCCATTACTCGCGCGACTCCTCGTTTCCCGGATGCATCTCGGTGTCCAAACCTTCCACTGCAGCAGCACCCACGGGACGTTGATGACGCCAAGGTCTCCACCCAGGAAATGGAGGTCGCCAATCCGGAAAACGACGGCAACGCCGATAAGTATGACCAACTTCATCACACGCCCAGCAGCGAACATCACGACCACGACCACGTCCTCGCGCTTGTCCTTGGACTCGAGCAGCAGCAGCATCAACCTCCATTGGAACAGGACCATCACCCATAGGAAGTGGAGCGGAAGGACGTGCAGCGAGAAGTGGAAGAGGCGACGTCTCATAACGTTGTGCCAAGCGAAGAGCATCGTCAAGGGTGGCAGGAGCAAGTGCATGCACAAGTCCGACAAGATCTTGACGAAGTGCTGGCCACAACATTCCTAGCTTGATCCACTCCGACATATTTGGCTTCGCATGAAGCAAAAGACTTCGGAAACGAACGCCAAATTGCATCACCGACTCAGATGGCCCTTGGCGAAGACAATGCAATTGTTGGAAAGCATCATCACAATCATCAGCATGTCCGAAGGCGCGTTTGAAGACGTCTGGGAGAACACTCCAATCCCCACGAGTGGCTGCGCTCAAACCACTGTACCACTGCAATGCCGTCCCTTGGAGACACGTGGGAAACTCACGCAAACGTCGAGCATCATCCCAAGAATGATATGTGGCAATCACCATGAAGTGATCGAACCAATGGTACACATCATCCCCAGGATTCCCGCGAAAGAACTCCGGCCGAATGCGAGGATTAGCACCAAGAGCAAGAGGAGTTGTACCACGTGCCGTGAACGCTGCCATCAACTGAGTTTGGTTGTTCAATTGCAAGCGCATAGCATCAAGCAATTGTACCAACTGCTGCTCTAGAGTCAAAGGAGGAGATTGCGGATCTGCCATAAAGATGAACGAAAAAGAAAGAGCAAAAGAAGAGAGATAACAAAAAGCTAGAAGGAAATGGTAGATCTAGACAACGCAAAAAGCTAGATCTAAACCAAAAGAAAGGAAATGGAAAAAGCTAGATCTAGAC